TATATACGCCAAAATACAAACAATGCAGCTAAGTTTCAACATTATCAACATTCTGGAGAGCAACCAACAGTAATCCCTCAGTCCAAACAAGACAGTAATTTAGAAAAAGTTGAATAGTAAGTAATTCAATATACAACTCTTACCCAGCTCACCAGCAGTTGATGAGACATTGCTTTGCAAAATTCAGCCAACACAGATTTTATATATATATATATATATATATATATATATATATTATATATCTGTGTGTGTGTGTGTGTGCTTTTTTCTACATAAGCATGTCTCTATATATATATGTGTGCATGTCTCTACATAAGCAAGCTAAAAGAATCCAAACTATATACTCCCTCCGTCCCATTGGATTTGAATCTTCAAATCCTTCCCACCCAAGAAGTTCAAAACAAGAATTAAGTGTATGAAAAATTATATTTACCTTGCTGCTTTGATTAAGTTGAAGCTCACGAATGTGACTACGAATACCAGAAAGTTTTTTTGCATTTTCCTCACTCTAAACTAGTATAAAATTAGTATTTATGATGTAAACACAAAGGATAGGTGCATATTATTCTATAAGATAAAAACTCACCATGATGCAAGCTAGACCTATATAAGACGAAGGTGATCAAAGATGAAAAATGTTAAAAGGCCATCGCCATACCTGACAGACAACATTATTGAATTCATCTTTTGCTCTTGCAACATTTTCTTGTAAAGCATCTTTTCAGTCCTCAATCTGCATACCATCACAAACGTAAAAGTATAATTAGTTGATTATTTTAACATTTTAATAGTAATGGTCCAGTTCGTGATTTTCGGTTCTCATTTTTTGAGAATCCATCCCGTACCATTCTAATTTTGGAATGATAGTGTTTGGGATATAATTTACTAGAACCATTTAAAAACATACTTCTCGATCGGTTTCATTTGGAATAATGTCGTATTCTGTATTCATATTTTTGCACTAATCCCCTTCTTTCCTAGGTGGCCATTAAACCTAGCAAAGTGAAATAGGAAAATTATGTTGATAACATATCTTATGTGAAACTGCATCACATGCTAAATGTTAAATACAGAAAAAATATGCTGTATAGATGGACAATAGAAGGGTAAAAGGCATACTGCCAAGTCAGCTGACGCTTCAGGAGACTTGCATTTCTTTGAAACTTACTCCATCTCAGATCTAGTGCCTTACGGCATGCCTAACACCAGAGCAAGAACATATAAAAGAAAACTGATGTAAATTGTCATATGATAGCAATGCATTTCAAGAATAAATAGCTCC